GCACAACTTCCCCGACCAGGGCTCCGACGCCGACGACGTGCTGGCCGTTGTGCACCTCGACCTGTGTGGGCCATTCCGGATGGCTGCCAAGGACGGCAGCCTGTACTTCTTGCTGCTGAAGGACTGCAAGACCCGCTACGTGTGGGTGAGGCCGGTCGCCAGGAAGTCCGACGTGCTGCGGGAGTTTGCTGCTGGTGACGGTTGAGCGGTAGACGAAGAAGTCGGTGTTAATGCTGCGTACTGACCGGGGAGGGGAGTTCCTTGGGAAGGACTTCATCGTTCTCGTGGACGGCAAGGGGATCCTCCACGACCTTACCTGCCCGTACACCCCGCAGCAGAATGGCATGGCGGAGCGGGAGATGTGGACGGTGGTGGAGTCGGTGCGGACGATGCTGCTGCATATGGGCGTGCAGCACCACTGGTGGCACCTCGCTCTGCGGCAGGCCGTCTGGGTCCGCAACTGCCTTGAGCGGTCGACGGCTGCCTCCGGGAACAAATACTACCGTACATGATGTACGGTGCATCATTTACACATACATACAGTGTGTGTCTTATCTTACTATACAGCTAAGGCTGTCTTTCTATTGATGTGTTCTGTCCCCCCGTTTAGAAGTTGCTTTTCCGTGTCTTCAAAGTCTGCACATAGCGAATATGAATTCCCTCTCGAACTCAAGTTCGGGTTCGCTTTGAAAGCTCAAAACTCAAGTCGAGCCGTTGCGATCTTCGGTGCGGCTCAACCGTGACGAAATCGCAAATGCTACGACACTCGTTGAACGACCAAACCAGGCCCCACGCCTCTCGCTTTCGTTCTCCGAAAGAACCTTCAGGAAGAACCATACAAAGCTGCCTAGGCTGGAACCCTAAGCACTAACCACGTTCTAAGGGTGCATCCCTGGTTGGTGGCAGGGCAACTGTTCACATCGAGTTGGTGGCAAGTGTACCCAAAAATTCAGTGGGCCGGAAAATGCGCTTGCCACCAACAGTTGCCCTGCCACCAACTCAGGGATGCACCCTAAGCACTTTCATCGGTCCTTTCGAGGGTTCCTAAATCTCCTGACCACACGGGGCGACTCCCGAAAGCGCGCTTCGGCCGCAGCCCTCATACTTTTGATCGACCTGTTAACTTCGAGCCATTTAGGAAGGTGCGCTGGTTTGTCACGAAGTTCCAGGTCGTTTGGGGTCGTTGTCGTAAATCGCAATGTTGCTCAGCACACGGAGCTTATAGCGAGTATTTTGATGTGTCAGGCGGTCACTTCTGACTGCCATGCCACGTGTCGTCGTTTTGCTTGCGGCGAAGCCTGCATCTGAAGTATCGTAACGCAGAATCGCAACCTTCGCAAGCTTCCGTAGTAACATGGCTGTGGCTCATTCGCCCTTCCCCTTCCCGTTTTCCCCGTTACAGCATGACTCGCTCGCTTCTCTTACAGCGCCTACAGACGCTCACCAATCAGCAAACTCCTAGCCAGCCGCCCAGCAGACCGCCTGACCTGCCAGCGGAAGCCGCGCAGAGGGCGGAGGCTGCCCGCGCGGGCGGCGACGCGACAGCAGCGCAACGAAGGGGCGCAGCCGCAGCAGGGAGAGTTTCTGGGGAAGCGCCGGATCAAGGGGAAGGGCCAGCGGAGGAGCAGCGCGGTGGCGTGCGGTTGGAGTCGGTTCTGGCCGCCAATCCCCTTGTCGCCCTACCTGCCCGCCCTGAGCCCGCCGTCCCCCCTTACGCCTTCCCCTCGCCCTCCCTCCACTCCTCTCCCCATGGCCTCCCCGCTCCGCCCCTGCGCGCAAACACATACGAGCCTGCGCTGGGTAATGGCTCGACAGGCATGGGCAGTGCCATGCTCGCAGGCACGGGAACAGGCACGGGCACAAGAATAGGCACGGGAACAGGCACGAGCACAAGAATAGGCACAGGCACGGGCACGGGCAGGGATTTGCGTGAGCGGTGGGAGCAGGCATTGCAGATCGGCAAGGGGCGGGCGATTTGGGACGACGAGCAGACGACAGCGCTGCTGGGGATCTTGCGGGAAGTGCTGCGTGCTGAGGGCTCCCCCCTCCCCGGCAGGATCGACTGGGGGGCGGTGCACCGCGAGTGGTTGCGGCAAGGATTCCCGCGGTATTCGGGGGAGCAGCTGCGAATGCGGTGCAAAGTGGTGCGCGGGTGGGTGAAGGACATTCAGGCCCTCCAAGCGATGCTGCCGCCTGAAGCCGCCTGGGACCCCACCACTCATTGCTTTCGCCCCGACCCCAAGGTGAGAGTCCTCACGTGAGAGAGGGCGAGGTGTGATCTGCTTGTGTATGATTTCAAGATGGGTCTACCACCGTCCTCGGCCTCCTTCCTTCTGCCTCCTCTCCCTCCTCTCCCTCCTCTCCCTCCTCTCCCTCCTCTCTATGTTGGCATATACGCGTATAGCGTATATACGCGTGTCGTATATACGCTTTTTTCCGGGCAGGAAAAAAAACCCGGGCAGGTCGAGAAAAACACATAGGTATAGTTTACAGGGGGTATTCACGGGAGTTGTGTTCCAGGTTAATTTCTTTGTTTTATTAGGCTGAAATTGTAGACTTCGTGCTCAACAATAGGACGTGCCCTATTTCTATCCTGTGTGAGATGAGATGGCGGGTTAGAGGCTGCAGTAGAACTTATCGCGTAGGGTACTAGGAGGAGCGAGTGACGACTAGGCGGGCATGGACGGATAGGGGAGAGAACGCAAACTAGATCTGACGAGATGTGTTGGAGGGGACGTGTTGGAAAGGTTGGAGTTCGTAGATTAAGTTCGGTTCAATGCAGTGGAACCCTGAAATTTTGAGTTGCAGCTCAAACACGAATTTAAACATTTAAGCCACATTTCCACTTCCCTAGATCTCCAACGAGCATTTCGACTACGGCGAAATGATCGGCATGAAAACCGGCAAGTTTTTCCATATTGCTGAAAATTTTCATCCTGGGCTGCCCAGAAAAAAACTCCTGATCGTATAGCGTATTTGCTAGCGTATAGCGTATAGCGTGTAAACGCTATACGCTCAAGGCCCAAAGCGTACATGCCAACACAGCCTCCTCTCCCTCCTCTGCCTCTGCCTCCTCTCCCCCCTCTCCCTCCTCTGCCTCCTCTCCCTCCTCTCCCTCCTCTCCCTCCTCTCCCTCCTCTCCCTCCTCTGCTTCCTCTCCCTCCTCTCCCTCCTCTCCCTCCTCTCCCTCCTCTCCCTCCTCTGCCTCATCTCCTCTCCTCTCCTTCCTCTCCCTCCTTTGCCTCTCCCTCTTCTCTCCCTCCCTTACCCCCCTTTTTCCTATCTTCATTACCCCTTCGCCTGCTCCCTCACCACCCCCACCCGCCGCTGCAGCTGGGAATCATTCCGCGGCTGAAGCAGCGTGGGCAGTGGAAGCACTACAGGCGGTGGTGCAAGCACACGGCGCCCTGGCTGCCCCTCGCGCTGCTCAACGCCCACACGTGCCCTGCTGCGGCTCCGCTGCAGGGCGAAGAGGAGGAGTGGGAAGAGGAGGAGGAAGACGAGGAGGGGGAGGAGGATTGGGAAGACGGGGAGGGAGGGGAGGAGGATGGGGAAGAGGAGGAGGATGAAGTGGTGGAGGTGGAGGATGGGGGGGAGGGGAATGGGGAGGCGGAGGAGGAGGAGGAGGTTGAGGAGGTGGGGGAAAGAGGGCGGGAGGGATGGGGCGATAGAGGGCGACTGCGGCGAGTGGCATGGAGGTATAGGCGTGAATCAGGAAGGAATGTGCGGAGGAGGAGAGACAGAGGAGGGGTGGAGGCACGGGGGGGTAGTGGAGAGCAGTGGAGGGGTGGAGAATGGGATGGTGATGAGTGGTGGGGGATGAGGAGGGGGGATGCGGGGCAACAGGCAGGGCAGGGAGGGGGTGTGAGGAGCAGAGGGGAACGAGAGGGTGCAGAAGCGAGAGGGGTTGAAATTGGCAGAGCTGAGAATGCCAGGGTTGGGATTGGCAGGGCTGGGGTAGGCAGAGGTGGGACAGGACAGGACGATGGTGGGTTAGGCTGTACAGTTGACGCACCTCGTGGTCGCAATGTAACATTTGCTGACAGAGCTCATGCTGACGTGGCTCGTGCTGACGTGGCCCGTGCTGATGAGACTGGTGGTGCAAGTGCGGATGAGAGGGACGAGTACCCTGCGAGGCTGGCAGCGCGGATCGCTGGCATGGTGGCGAGCAGGAGGGAGCAAGGCGGCACTGAGGGGGGAGGGGGCGGGGATGGAAGAGGAGGAGGAAACACAAGTGCACGGTGGAGGGTTGGGGCTCCAGAGGGCCCGAATGGGGTGGAGGAGAGGCAAGGAGGGGGGCGAGGGGAGGAGGGGAGAGGGGCGAGGGGTGTGAAGCGGTCGAGGCCAATGTGGGTGCAGGTGAGGGAGAGGAAGCGGCAGCGGCGGGTGATGGAGAGTGTGGCGCGTGCCCTGATTGTGTTCAGAGGCAAGGCGAGGAAGGGGCAGACACACGTGTACCGAGGTGTGTGGTGTGATGGGATGGGATGTGGTGGGATGGGATGGGATGGGATGGGGTGGGATGGGATGGGATGGGATGGGATGGGATGGGATGGGACGGGACGGGACGGGATGGGATGGGATGGGATGGGACGGGACGGGACGGGATGGGATGGGATGGGATGGGACGGGACGGGACGGGACGGGACGGGACGGGACGGGACGGGACGGGACGGGACGGGACGGGACGGGACGGGACGGGACGGGACGGGACGGGATGGGATGGGATGGGATGGGACGGGACGGGCCAGGATGTTACGGGAGGGGACGGGATCAGATTGGATCGGACTGAATCGGATCGGATCGGATCGGATCGGATCGGATCGGATCGCTCCCCAACACCTTTTGACTCAGCTCACAACACCCCTTACCCTCCCATTCATTTCCTCCCCTCCCCCTTTTTCTTCTTCAACGTGGTCAAGTCGGTGCAGGACGTGCAGGCCCTCCCTATGGGACATCTCCTGACCCCTGTCCCAAATCCCTCCCTTTTTCTTCACCCTCAGACCCGGTAGCAGACAGTGTGGTGAGGACCCCCCCATCAGACGCGGTAGCGGACAGTGTGTTCAAGGCGGTGCAGGCAGGAGCTGTCAAAAGAGGACAGGTGGGCTGCGGAGGCCTTACTTCCATCAACTCGTGTTGTTTAGGACAACGAAACAAACTCCATGAGAAATGGCGGAAGGAGCCTGGTGTGCTTAGCTTGAAAACGTTGTTGAGAGAGCCAGTTTAAAACAAATCTTCACTAAAGAATCAGAGACATTGCAAACTAGTTTCGGCTTTTGCAAGCCTTCATCAGTACAAGCCTGAAACTAAAGATCAGAAATGAAGAAAACTAGCTAAAATACTCCTCGCTCAGGCTAGGCTAACCAGGACATGACGGGAATGAAGATCGAATGTGAAAGAGGCGACGAGAGGAGCAGACAGCTTCGGTCCAATCTCTAGGAACCAGAATTGGAATCCTCGGAGTGGTTGGAATCTGGAACCGAAGAGGTGGGGTAACCACTTGTGTCGCGCGAGAGGTTCGCTGCAACAGGTCGCAGCCTCGATTGAATCAGTCTTCGACGTAAGCGGGAAGGTAATTTCCACGCCAACAAAAATCTACAGGAACCAGAAGAATAGCCACGTATTTGAAGAAGTGTTTTGAGACGTCTCAAAACGAACCCAAGGGGTAGACTTTTACTGAAGGGGATGTAGTTGGTCTTCAACACCAAGGGTCCGTGAGATCTCAGATCTGGTACTGTAGATGAAGCTTGAAGCAATTGTCGTTCTCGAGCTCGTTGAAGAAGCTCTTCTCGTTGAATGAATGTCACGGCCGCAAAGAGCGGTAGCAGAAAATTAGGCGGATATCCCCTGGAGCGTAGCCTCTGGAAAAAGGCTTGCTTCATACTGCAGAAGTCGTCGAAACTTGAGCTTCGCAGTAGATAACGTCTCAGCTCCGAGCGAATAAACCCCTCCTTGCAATGCCGCGGGTGAAATGACGAAAATGGTAAGTAGAGATAAGTGTTGTTCGGCTTCTGGTAAGTAGCGATATCCAGTATACCGGTGCTTCTGTAGCGCTGCCCTTTGCGGACGACTATGTCAAGGAAATCTACAGAAATTTCCGAGACGGTCCAGGTGAGCTTAATGGACGGTCGAAGCGTATTGAAAGTAGCGAGGTACCCCTCAAGCCCTTCCTTACTCCCTTCCCAGCAGATGAAGCCGTCATCTATGTACCGGAGATGAAGCAGAGGAAGTTTGTTCCCCATACGCGCTCGTAACAGCTCGTCCAGTCTGCTCATGTAGAGGATAGCGAAGCAAACAGCCACCGAGGTTCCCATTGCCGTTCCCTGTATCTGCCGAAACAGTCTCCCGTTAAAATCCACGTACGAATTGAACATCACCCATTCCAGCAACGCCATAATGACAGGTGCGTTCGGGAAGTGCAGAGGGTCGCGTTCTAAAAAAGATCTGACGACATCGACACCCTTCCGAAGAGGAATTGAAGGGTAGAGCGCCTGAACATCATAAGTAGCGAGCAGGAGATTGTTTTTCGGGAACGGGGTCTTCTCCAAATGAAGAAGCAGCGACAAAGAATCTCTCAGGTATGTAGGCTGCCGGAGTACCAAAGGTCGTAAAGCTGTATCAAGCCAGCGACTAACATTCGCGGTCACCCAGGAATGTGACGCGGCGATGGGCCTTCCGACAGGTACTTTCTTGTGGACTTTCATGATGACGTAAAAAATGGCGGGTTTCCAGCCATTAACCGGTGGGTGTTGAAAGAAATTCCAGAGATACTTAGGCAACAGCGGTTCGAAATTGAAACGGATGTCTGACAGCTTGGCTAAGACCGTGATTCGAGGATCTTCAAAATCAGGGTCTGACGTCGAAACTTCCTTGTAAGTACTCCTGTCCAGAAGGTGGTTAAAACACTCGGTAATGTATGAAGATCTATCCATCAGAGTGATCCCTAAATTCTTGTCAGCCGGCTTGATGATCAGGTCGGTGTTGGAAGAGAGCTCAGAAATGGCCTTGTAGTAACCTTTGGGAAGGAAAGGCCCTTTGCGAACAATTGGTCGAGAAAAAAGCAAAGATAAATCTTTCCTTGTCTCCTCGAACACTGCTTCCAGCTGCTCGTCCTTTTCAGGTAGCCAGTCAGGATTGCTGACGCGGAAACGGCTGTCGGAACGGCCTTCTCCTTCAAAGAATTCCTGGATTCTAATAGACCTGAACAGGTTCGTAAAATCTTTAGTGATGTCAGAGGAAGAAAACGGAGGTGAGTGCGGCAACACAAACTTAAGCCCGAGTCCAAGAACATTGCGTTCAGCAGGAGTCAAGGTATGAAAGCTCAAGTTGTGAATTCCGTGGTTGGTGATGCGAGTCTTAGCCTGGGACTCTGTCATCCTACCAAACCCCCGGTAGTGCTAGTTCTTGGCTGCTTAGTTGTGCTGACCCCTTGCGGGGCCTCCTCCGTTTTTTGGCCGATGCGGGTACCATCTCTTATTCTTCTTCTTCTTATCCCTCTGATCACCTGCAGGTTGCTGCTGCTGCTGCTGCTGCTGCTGGTTCTGCTGCTGAGGCTGCTTTGGCGCCTTCTGCTGCTGTACCTGTTGCTGCTGCTGCTGTCCCTGCTGTTGCTGCTGTTTCTGTGTGGAGGATGGCTGGTTAAGCAGTTCCAGTTTTTCGAGGCGTTGAAGCACCGCGGAGAGCTTTGAATCTATCACATCCTTGGCAACTTCTCGCATACTGGGCTCAGTCTCCATTTTCTGGAGCGCCTCCTGAGCTGCCTTCTTCACCATCTCCGCCTCGTTCTTTAACCGCTGATTCTCATGAAAGTCCATGAAGGCTTTAGTTTGCTGTAACTCGATAGCTTGATTAGCTTCCTGGATAAGTAGGACCTTGAAGTATTCCATGACCTCAATGGCTTTGTTGCGTCGTGGATCGTCCTCCATGGCTTTAATGCCATTAATATAAGTGGAAATTAACCCATCCAGGAGAGTAGCAGCACTGTTGGCTTCTGAAAAAGCCGTAGCCATAAGTTCTTTAGCTTTAATGAAAACTTCTTGCTGGAGCTTGAGAGAATCATTATGCAAAGAAGAAATCTTGTCATCAGCGACTTTTTTGATTGCTTCATTGGAGGTCTGAAACTGGACAGCCTTGGTCCTGATACTGTGAAGTAATTCTCCTCGGCTGTTAATCAGCTTCATTTTAGCAACCTGTTGCTTGAGGCTCAGAAAAGTGTTGTATGATTTGATGGCTTTAGAGATATCTTCTTGTTGCCACTTCTTGAATGGAGGTGGACATAACTCGTGGCCAAAACTAGATCCAAGATCTTGTAGCATAGGGCCTGATTCCTCTCCTTGACCGCCATCTGGCGTTAAAGCCGCTTCCAGCGATCTCTGAGAGATATTCACTCCGTGGATCACATTAACACCTGCATTGTCTGCGTTAGAAGCCATAGCAGGTGACGCGGACGCTACTCTTTTTGGAGTTTTAAATCGTTGTCGTCGTAATGTCTTAGGATGTGTGATGGAGTATGGAACCGGAGTAAACTCAAATTTCCCTTTATCCAGCCGTCGAGAATCTTCCGATTCCTCCCGCTGACGCTTAATAGCGCGAAAAACGAAGAAACGTGAGCTCTCGTAAAGGACCTCTGAGTCGGATGAATCGTTATCAGAAGATGAAACGCCTTCGGCCACAACCGTGTTAAAAGGTGCAGGAGCTGTCAAAAGAGGACAGGTGGGCTGCGGAGGCCTTACTTCCATCAACTCGTGTTGTTTAGGACAACGAAACAAACTCCATGAGAAATGGCGGAAGGAGCCTGGTGTGCTTAGCTTGAAAACGTTGTTGAGAGAGCCAGTTTAAAACAAATCTTCACTAAAGAATCAGAGACATTGCAAACTAGTTTCGGCTTTTGCAAGCCTTCATCAGTACAAGCCTGAAACTAAAGATCAGAAATGAAGAAAACTAGCTAAAATACTCTTCGCTCAGGCTAGGCTAACCAGGACATGACGGGAATGAAGATCGAATGTGAAAGAGGCGACGAGAGGAGCAGACAGCTTCGGTCCAATCTCTAGGAACCAGAATTGGAATCCTCGGAGTGGTTGGAATCTGGAACCGAAGAGGTGGGGTAACCACTTGTGTCGCGCGAGAGGTTCGCTGCAACAGGTCGCAGCCTCGATTGAATCAGTCTTCGACGTAAGCGGGAAGGTAATTTCCACGCCAACAAAAATCTACAGGAACCAGAAGAATAGCCACGTGTTTGAAGAAGTGTTTTGAGACGTCTCAAACCCTCAGACCCGGTAGCGGACAGTGTGGTGAGGACCCCCCCATCAGACGCGGTAGCGGACAGTGTGTTCAAGGCGGTGCAGGCAGTGCAGGCGCTGCCCTCGCTGACGGACGCGCAGCGCGTGGCGGCCATCGACGTCTTCCTGCAGCGCCCCCTCGACGCCCACGCCTTCCAGGCCATGAGCCCCGCCCTGCAGACGCTCTTCGCCCGCCGCGCCCACGCCCAGGATGTTGATCAGCAGCTGGCAGGGATTCAAGCTGCCGCTGCCGCTGCTGCTGCTGCTGGGGAGGGAGATGCGGTGCTGACAGACCAGCTCCTCGCCCCCCTGCAGGGCGTGGCTGGGGGTGTTGGGGTGGTGGGCGTGGCTGGGGGTGTTGGGGTGGTGGGGGGGGGAGTGGGGAGCGGAGCTGGGACGTGGGGATTGGGTGGGGGTGGGGGTGTGGCGGAGATGGGCGCAGGGGGAGTGGGATTTGGGGGGAACGGGGTGGGGGGGATGGCTTCAACGGGTGTGGGAGCAGCAGGGATGGGAACAGCAGGGATGGGAACAGCAGGGATGGGAACAGCAGGGATGGGAACAGCAGGGATGGGAACAGCAGGGATGGGAACAGCAGGGGTGGGAACAGCAGGGATGGGAACAGCAGGGATGGGAACAGCAGGGATGGGAACAGCAGGGATGGGAACAGCAGGGGTGGGAACAGCAGGGGTGGGAACAGCAGGGGTGGGAACAGCAGGGTTAGGAACAGCAGGGGTGGGAACAGTAGGGGTGGGAGTGAGAAGCATGTGGATGGCTGAAACTCGTAGAGGGGGAATGGGATCGGGGATACCGCGGATGGGGGAAACAGGGTTCGGTTGGAGGGGATTGGGAACGGTAGGAGAAACGGGAGCAGGGATGGCAGAAGGTGGGAGTGTGGGTGTGGGAATGGCAGCAGCAGCAGTAGCAGCGGCCTCAGCAGGAGGTGCGAGGGGTGTTCAGGGTGTGGGCGGGGTAGAAGGAGGAAGTAGGGTGGGAGGGGAAGGTGGGATAGGAGGGGAAGAGGGGGCAGGAGGAGCAGCTGGGGCAGCAGGAGCAGCTGGGCTGAGTGGCACAAGTGCGTTGGGCGGCGTAGGTGGGATGAGCGGCACACAAGGGGCAGGCAGCACGGCAGGGCTGCAGCTGCTGGGGCATCGCGTGCAGGAGTTTGTGCGACAGAACCTGGGAGCAGTCAACGCCAGTCAAGGGGCAGTCAATGCAGGTCAAGTGGGGGTGGCTGGCACTCCAGTGTCAGTCAATGGGATTCAATGCGAGTGCCCTGAGTGTGTGGCTGCTAGAATGCGTCAAGGCACAGTCAACGCAAGTCAACAGATGGCCAGCACTGGTCAACAGGCAGTCAATGCTGGTCAAGGGGCAGTCAATGCTGGTCAAGAGGGGGTGGCTGGCACTCCAGTGGTGGTCAATGAGCATCAATGCGAGTGCCCTGAGTGTGTGGCTGCTAAATTGGCGGCCAGTATACGGCAAAGGGCTGTCAATGGGAGTCAACCAGTGGTCAATGCGAGTCAACCAGTGGTCACTACGAGTCAACCAGTGGTCAACGCGAGTCAACCAGTGGTCAATGCGGATCCGACGAGGGGAGTGGCAGCGAATCAGACGGAGACAGCTGTCGGTCAATTAGGGTTCGGTGCAGGTCATGTGGGGACGGCTGCTGTGCTACAGACAAGAAATGCTGGTCAAGCATCATCCAATGCTGGTCAAGAAACAATCATTGCTGGCCAAGGAGCAGTCAATGCAGGTCAAGGGGCGGTCAATGCAGGTCAAGGTGGGGGGTTGAGTAGTGACGAAGAGTTGCTTTCAGGTGAGAATTTGAGTGCTGGATGGTCTACGAGTGAGGGCGAGGAGTTGAGTCAGGGGGAGGAGTTGAGTGAGGAGCAGTTGAGTGAGGAGTTGAGTGAGGGAAGGGGAATCGTGTGTGTGAGGGACAATGGAGCTGTTGCGTATGAAGTGGGTGTTAAACTGTATTATGCTTGTAGGCTGTAGTGGGGTAGCCAATATGGGGTACAACCCCAACTAGGGTTTCATATTTGTACCCAAAACTTCTGCTAGTTCATTCATTCTTGCCTAGTTCTCTTAACATGGTATTCAGAGCAGGAGGTCCCTAGGACCTACCGACCGTTTTTTTTTTTTAAGGGCCCACCACCGCTCGCATGCGGTTACCACGCTACCCCGTGCCCTAGCCTCGTAGCGCCCTCGTGCGCCCTCGTTAGCGCCCTCGCGCGCCCCTCGTTAGCGCCCTCGCGCGCACCCTCGTTAGCGCCCTCGCGCGCCCCTCGTTAGCGCCCTCGTGCGCCCCTTGCTAGCGCCCTCGCGCGCCCCTCACTAGCGCCCTCGCGCGCCCCTTGCAGTGTCGCCCGCCCGCCGAGCCGCCCGCTCGCTGCCCGCTTCGCGGCCCGCCCGCTTCGCAGCCCGCTCGCCCGCTCGCTGCCCGCTTCGCGGCCCGCCCGCTTCGCAGCCCGCCCGCCCGCTCGCTGCCCGCTTCGCGGCCCGCCCGCTTCGCAGCCCGCCCGCCCGCTCGCTGCCCGCTTCGCGGCCCGCCCGCTTCGCAGCCCGCTCGCCCCGCTGCCCGCTTCGCAGCCCGCCCGCCCGCTCGCTGCCCGCTTCGCGGCCCGCCCGCTTCGCAGCCCGCTCGCTCGCTGCCCGCTTCGCGGCCCGCCCGCTTCGCAGCCCGCCCGCCCGCTCGCTGCCCGCTTCGCGGCCCGCCCGCTTCGCAGCCCGCTCGCCCCGCTGCCCGCTTCGCAGCCCGCCCGCCCGCTCGCTGCCCGCTTCGCGGCCCGCCCGCTTCGCTGCCCGCTCGCAGCGCCGCCCGCCCGCCCGCTACCTGCTTCGCAGCGTCGCCCGCCCGCTTGCTGCCCGCTCGCAGTGTCGCCCGCTCGCCCGCTGCCCGCTTCGCAGCGTCGCCCGCTCACTTGCAGCCCGCCCGCCGCACTTCCCTGCCTGTGCACCGCCGCTTGCTCCTGCTGTGGCTGCTAGCTTCGCTCTAGCGCGTCCCCTCTGCTGCTGCCGCTGCTCTGCTGTGCCCTCACGCCTGAGCTATGGCCTCTATTCGCGTTCTTTCCTTCGATGCTGAGGGCCGTCCCGTGCAGTTCACTTCCTGGCTCGACGACCTGCAGTTGTATCTTATGAGCAATAGCACGGACCACATCTCCCTCTATGACTATGCGTCTGGTGCTGCCGCTGCTCCTGCTGCCACAGCCGAGCTTAGTGTTCGTTCCCACTGGCAGACTCGTGACGCAGCTGCTCGCCTAGCCATTCGCAGTCACCTGCCGCTAGCTGAGCTCGAGCATTTTGGCGACTGCAAATCCGCTAAGGCCCTGTACGATGCTGTCGTTGCTCGCTACTCCTCGCCTGCCACAGCCGAGCTTAGCCGCCTCATGCTGCCGTACCTGTTCCCCGATCTGTCCACCTTTGCTACAGTCGCCGATCTTATCACCCACCTTCGCACTAGTGATGCTCGCCTGCGTGCCGCCCTTCCCACCGAGTTCTGCGCTAAGAACCCCCCTCCACTGTACTGGACACTCCACTTCATAGTCACCCGTCTCCCTGACACCCTCAGCTCAGTTCGAGACCACTTCCTTGCTCGCTGTCCCACTGAGCTCACAGTCACCCTCCTAGAGGAGCAGCTGCTCGCGGCCGAAAAGAGCATTGTAGCTGTCGGTGCTGCTCGTGGCGCTCCTCGCACCCCCATCTTTGAGGGGTGTTCTCCCTCTCCCCTCGCTCCCTCCTACGCTGCTGCTGCTGCTGTTGACTTCCTTGGTGCTGAGTCTGTTGGCGCTGCTTCTACTCCTGGTGGGAGGCGCCGCACCGGCAAGGGCAAGGGGGGCAAGGGTGGTGGTGGTGGCGCTGGGGGGGGAGGAGGTGGGGGAGGTGGGGGGGGAGGCGGTGCTGGAGGGAGCGGTGGCGGGAGCGCTGGTGGGAGTGGGGTCGGTGGTGGAGGCGGGGGCGGCGGAGGAAGCAGTGGCAGTAGTGGCGGCGGCGGCGGCGGCGGTGGCGGCGGTGGCGGTGGTGGCGGTGGTGGCGGTGGCGGTCGTAGCGGTGGTAGTGGTGGCGGCGGAGGTCGGAGTGGAGGCACTGGCTCGGGCCAGAGCTCCCAGCAGCAGCAGCGTCCCCAGACGACCCAGCAGCTTCGTGAGTGGCTTGCTCAGCGTGGGACGTCGGGGGGCAGTGGCCGCTGTTCTTATGTCATTCGCACAGGTGACCGCAAGGGACAGACGTGTGGGAGGTTCCACACCCCGTACCGCTGCTTCTCCCGCCTTGACGACGCTTGGCGTGAGGAGATGGGTGCGGATGTTGAGCGCCCCCGCTGGGCTGAGCTCATGAGGGCTGGTGTTGATGTCTTTGCTCTTGACTTTGATGCTATTATTGCTGCCATGTATGCATTGACTGTTAGTGCCGAGGGAGACTGTTACTTGTGTGTGCCGCCTGACCCAGGTATAGAGCCCGCTGCCCTGGGTACTAGTGAGTCTGCTCTCTCTGGTATGGTGCCCCCTGTACTTGCTCCCTCCAGTGCTGTCCCGGCTGTTTTCGAGTCTGCTCTCTCAGGTACAGCACCCACAGAGACTGCTCTCTCAGGTACCGCACCGGCTGAGGCCTGTCACACCTTCACCCTTGACTCAGGTGCTTCCCGTTGCTTCTTTCGTGACAGTACTGAGCTCACACCGCTTCCTGCACCGGTCCCAGTCTCCTTGGCTGACCCCTCTGGGGGCCCAGTCCTTGCCCAGTCCACCACTGTCCTCCCTTGTCCGGCGGCTCCGTCTGGCTCGTTGTCGGGTTTCCACCTCCCCTCGTTCTCGACGAACCTGGTGAGCAACGCTGTCCTCCAGGATCAGTGGGTTGACACCTTTACCCCTGGAGGACAGCGTGTGGCGATCTGCACGTGCTCCAGGACCGGCCGTCACCTGGCTACGTTTACCCGTCGGCCGGGGTCGAGTCTCTACACACTGACCACTGCGTCTCCTCAGGTCGCTGCTGTCGGTCAGGTGTCTGCGTCAGGTCTGGTAGGCCACGCCTGTGAGTGTCGTTCCCTGTCGCACCAGACTCTTCTCTGGCACCACCGCCTGGGTCACCCCTCCTTGCCACGCCTTCGTGGCATGCACCGTCGCCACCTTGTGTCTGGTCTTCCCAGGTCCCTCCCTCCCCTCCCTGCCTCTCCTGCGCCGCCTTGCCTTCCTTGCGTCGAAGGGCGGCAGCGCGCCGCTCCTCACTCCTCCTCGTTCCCCCCGACAGGGGCTCCTCTGCAGACCCTCCACCTGGACGTGTGGGGCCCAGCCCGCGTTCGTGGTCAGGGCGGTGAGCGGTATTTTTTGCTGGTTGTCGACGACTACTCGCGTTACACCACGGTCTTCCCCTTGCGCACCAAGGGTGAGGTCCCTGCTGTTCTGATCCCTTGGATCCGCACGGTTCGTCTCCAGCTCCGCCGCCGTTTCCGGACGGATCTTCCTGTCCTGCGTCTGCACTCTGACAGAGGTGGTGAGTTTTCCTCCGACCTCTTGAGGACCTTCTGTCAGGCGGAGGGCATCGAGCAGACCTTCACGCTTCCGGACTCCCCACAGCAGAATGGGGTTGCTGAGCGCCGCATTGGTCTGGTCATGGAGGTCGCTCGTACCTCCTTGGTCCACGCGGCGGCTCCCCATTTTCTGTGGCCGTTTGCTGTCCGGTACGCCGCGCATCAGCTCAACCTCTGGCCCCGTGTCTCCTTGCCGGAGACCTCGCCCACACTGCGTTGGACGGGGGAGGTTGGCGATGCGTCGCGCTTCCGGGTGTGGGGTGCTCGTGCCCTTGTCCGCGATACGTCCGCGGACAAGCTCTCCTCCCGCACACTTCCCTGTGTCTTCCTTGGCTTTGTTCCTGACGCGCCGGGCTGGCAGTTTTACCACCCCACCTCGCGCCGGGTCTTCGCCTCTCAGGACGTCACCTTTGACGAGTCGGTCCCTTTTTACCGTCTCTTCCCCTACCGCACTGCCCCCCTCCCTCCCCCGCCGCTTTTCCTTGCTCCTGGTCCCCCTCCGGTAGACCCCCTTCCCCCTCAGGGTCCTGCTCCTTCAGGTGTCTCTCAGGTAGACCCTCCTCCCGTCGCTGAGCCTGTCGAGGTCACAGGTGACTCAGGTGCTGCTGCAGGTGGTGCTGCTGGGAGTGCTGAGCCTGAGGGTGCTGGGCCTGGGGGTGCTGGGACTACGGGTGCTGGAGCTGAGGGTACTGTGCCTGAGAGTTCGGCGCCTGGGGGTGCTGAGCCTGGGGGTGCTGCGCCTGGGGGTGCTGAGCCTGGGGGTGCTGCGACTGGGGGTGCTGAGCCTGCGTGTGCGGAGTCTGGGGGTGCTGAGTCTGGGGGTGCTGCGCCTGCGGGTACTGAGCCTGGGGGTGCTGCTACTGAGCCTACGGAGCCTCGGGTTGCTGTGTCTGGGGGTGCTCCGGTTCGGGGTGCTGAGCAGTCTCTCACACCGCAGCAGCTTCGTGACTGGTACGTCAGGCGCTTTCGCCGTCCTAGTGCCTCGACTGGAGTTGGAGGTGCTGGAGCTGCTCGTCCTGGGGGTGCTCGTACTGGGGGTACTGGAGCTGCCGGGACTGGTCGTTCTGGGAGCACTACGACTGGAGCTGCTGGAGCTGGGGCCTCTGGAGCTGGCGGTACTAGTGGAGTTGGAGCTGCCGACTCTGGGGGTGCTCTTCCTAGCGGTGCTGCGGACCCTGGGGGTGGTGCTGCTGCTGGTGCTGCGGACCCACCTGGTGGAGCTGCTGCTGGAGCTGAGGACCCGAGCGGTGGCGCTGCTGCTGGTGCTGGGGACCCGGACGTTGGAGCTCCTGCTGGTGCTGAGGACCCGGCCGCTGGAGTCTCTTCTGCTTCTGGAGACGCTGCGCGGCCGCGGCCGTACTTCGTACCGCTCCTTCAGCAGGTTCTTGGGCAGGCTCCTCCTCCTTGTCCTCCTCCCTCCGTAGGGTGTCTCCCGCCTGTCCAGCCGCAGTCACAGTTACCGCCTACCTCACCTCTCCCTGCTCCCTCTCCTTACACTGGTCCCACAGGAGGTCTTACAGAGCGTCGTGAGCCTGAGTCTCGCCCTGCGTCGCCTGTTCGCACTGCTCGCACTGGTCGTCGTGTCCGTCGTGAGCGTCCTCCTCCTGTCCCAGGCACTCACTACATGACTCTGCGTCCCTCTACTGCTCCTCAGCGTGTCCCTCTACCGTCTCCTCCTGCGTCCTCTTTGCCTGACGTTCCGGACCCTGAGTCTGACCGGTATCGTGCTGAGCACCCTACTGTCACCCGTCTCCTAGCTACTGTTGTCACTGACCCTACCTTTGAGTCCTCGGCTGCGTCTGCTCTAGTCGCTGAGTTGGTTGACTTTGCTGCTGCCTGTCGTCTAGACTACGCTGCTAGTCTTGTTGCTGAGTCTGCGTCTGCGTCTGTCTGTCCTCCGTCCGTCGGGGGTGAGTGTGCTCTTGGCACGGACGTCCTTGAGGACAGGCAGGAGGACTTTGACTCTCTCGCGGCTGCTGTACCTCATCTCGTGGCCTGGTTGCTTGCCCCTGAGGGAGACCCGGATGCACTAGACATCCCCACTCCGCGCACTTACGCAGAGGCGATCTCGGGTCCCTACTCCTCTCAGTGGCAGACAGCCATGGACGCAGAGATGGCATCCTGGAAGTCCACAGGCACCTACGTCGACGAGGTTCCCCCTCCTGGGGCGAACATCGTCGATGGCATGTGGATTTTCAGGGTGAAGCGGCCGCCAGGTTCTCCGCCTGTCTTCAAGGCTCGTTACGTTGCTAGAGGCTTCAGTCAGCGTCAGGGGGTCGACTTCTTCCAGACCTTCTCCCCCACCCCGAAGATGACCACTCTTCGGGTTCTGCTGCACGTTGCTGCTCAGCGTGACTACGAGCTTCACTCTCTTGACTTCAGCACAGCGTTCCTGCAGGGCAGCCTGCACGAGGAGATCTGGCTGCGCCGCCCACCTGGCTTTACTGGGTCGTTTCCCCCTGGTACCCAGTGGAGTCTCCGCCGGCCAGTCTACGGTCTCCGCCAGGCGCCACGTGAGTGGCACGACACACTGAGGACTACACTTGCGGCTCTTGGGTTCGCGCCGTCTACTGCTGACCCGTCGCTGTTTCTGCGCACAGACACGTCGCTGCCGCCGTTCTACATTCTCGTGTACGTCGACGACTTGGTCTTTGCTACTGCTGACACTGAGGCACTCGCTCGTGTGAAGTCGGAGCTGCAGAAGAGACACACCTGCACTGACCTGGGTGAACTGCGTAGCTACCTTGGCTTGCAGATCACCCGGGACAGAGCTCGCCGCACCATCACCCTGACTCAGTCACACATGGTGCAGCAGGTCCTTCAGCGCTTCGGCTTCCAGTTCTCCTCACCACAGGCCACACCTCTGGCTACCAGCCACTCGCTCTCAGCTCCACCTTCGGACGAGTCCGTAGAGCCGAGTGGCCCGTACCCAGAGCTTGTAGGCTGCCTCATGTACCTGATGACTTGCACGCGACCTGACCTCGCGTACCCTCTTAGCATCCTTGCTCGTTACGTTGCACCTGGGAGACACAGGCGAGAGCACTGGGAGGCTGCTAAGAGGGTGCTGCGTTACTTGTGCAGTACATCAGGCATGGGGCTGGTGCTTGGAGGACACGACAGAGTTGTCCTCACTGGTCACTCGGACGCTTCTTGGGTGGACGACCTGGCTACGCAGCGGTCGTCACAGGGTTACACCTTCAGCCTTGGCTCTGGTTCTGTCTCGTGGCGGTCCACCCGCTCTTCCTCTGTTCTCGGCTCTAGTTGTGAGGCTGAGATCTACGCCACAGCCATGGCTGCACAGGAGTTACGCTGGCTCACCTACCTGCTGACTGACTTGGGAGAGCGGCCTAGTTCTCCTCCAGTTCTGTACGGTGACAACAAGGCGGCTCTTGCCTTGTGTCAGGAGCACAGACTGGAGCACAGGACGAAGCACATTGCTCTTCGCTACTTTCTTGCTCGAGAGCTTCAGCAGCGCGGTCAGCTTCGGCTTGTGTACGTGGACTCGAAGGCCAACACTGCTGATATCTTCACCAAGGCGCTCCCGCCTAGTGATCATCAGCGGCACTGTACTTCTTTAGGCCTTGTGTCCACGTTTCCTCACTTGCTCACTGCTTGACATTCTTTGTACTGTACTTTATATATATCTTGTTGCTTGCTTGCTAGGTTTTGATCACTGTATTGCTTGTCTTGTACTATATCTAGCACTGCATGTGAACTGGCCTTGTGGCCTTTACTTGTGCTCGGAGTGTGGTGACGTTGTGATCCACCCTGGGCTTTGCTTTGCTTTGCTGGACTGGTCTTGTGACCCTTTGTTCTCCCCCACTTTGCCTATGGGGGTGTGTTAAACTGTATTATGCTTGTAGGCTGTAGTGGGGTAGCCAATATGGGGTACAACCCCAACTAGGGTTTCATATTTGTACCCAAAACTTCTGCTAGTTCATTCATTCTTGCCTAGTTCTCTTAACAGTGGGGGCACTTGAGAATGAGGGATTGTGGCACGTCTGAGGGAGAAGAGTGTGTGACTGGGGGAGGGAGGGGATATGGATGGGGGATGATGTGGGGACCAGGGTTTTTTGGGTTGCGAAGCAACCCTTTACAATCTATTTGGCCAGTTTTTTTTTTTATTTTTTTTTTATATTTTTTTAATAAAATGTGAAAAAAAAATACCGGATGCACTAATTGCTAGCTACGCGACCTGTAGCAAGTATTGTCTAATACTAATTCCATTGTGATGCGATGGTAGTGATTTATCTGTTCGCAACTACGGCATATTCTTGTGATGTTGGATGGTGTAGTGGTGATTACGTGACTGTCATGAAATGCATATATATTATGAATTGTACACATATGCTTAAATGAATATAATGATAAATACTTAAATTAATATAATGATACATGCTTAAATCAATATGATGATGAAATAGTATAAATGAAATATGCAATGATGTTAATAATTCATCCGTATGCATAATGTTTGATGTTAAAATGCACACATATTAATACATGATACAAATGCGTGACAACTAACGATCCAAAAACTATGCTATCGCATCCCCTGCCTAGCATGGGGGGGAGCTAATAGCATAATCCTTGAACAATCAGCAGTCACATGAAACAACACAATCTGTGAACTCTAAAAAGATGGTCAACTCTATCATCTCCAGTTCAAGTGGGCTCCCGACAGGCGCGCCAATGAACCTTCTAATGAAATGATAGACCTGATTCACCTTTTTAAAATTCACAGACATGTATTGCTAATGCAATAATGGATGAATGCACACTCACACAAGCAAGCACATTCACAACAACAAGACACATGGATAGAAAAAAAAATGAGCCGAAAACCCAAGATTATACATAGAAGATGCAAAACAAAGTAAAAAGGCAATGGTAAATTCTTGTGCCAACTACGACTTTCCAGATTGGACTCGCCTTCCTGATCAGCAAGACTCCTGAGAACAAAAAAAAAAAAAAAGATAACGAGAAAGGGAAGGTAGGGTCAAAATAACAGAAAACAAAGCACATCAAACAAAGCAGAAAACAGAAGCATAAAGCTGAAGTATAAAATGGAAGCAGAAAACCGAAGTAGAAAACCGAAGCAGAAAACCGAAGCAGAAAATTGAAGCAGCAAACCAAAGCAGTAAACATAATGAAGGCGGAAATGAGAGAGAATGAGAGAGAGAGAGAGAGAGAGAGAGAGAGAGAGAGAGAGAGAGAGAGAGAGAGAGAGAGAGAGAGAGAGAGAGAGAGAGAGACGAGAGAGAGAGAAAGAGACAGAGATAGCGAAGGGAGAAATCATCGACTAAATAATGGAATCTAGAAACTGAAATAGAGAGAAAGATGGAAGCAAGGAATTGGAACTAGCGAAGAGAAAGCAGAGAAAGCACATGCAGGGGGAAAGAGAGAAACACGAGGTGGTGCAGAAACTACGAGGAACGAAGAATCGATGCAACTACGAACAAAAGATTGTTGCACCAAAGAATTTCGCTACTTTGAAGCATTCTAGTTGAAAAGATTGTGCAAAAAAAGACAATCCAAGATTACAAGGTTGAGGATAAGGAAACAAAGATTGACGCAATAGTATGGATGCAGAAGAAAAGGAAGGGAAACAACTACTAGCAAGGAAACATAACGAAAGAAACGGAAAAACGGATGGAGAAAAGCAAGAACTCACCACGGCTGTTCTACATCCCTGAACGACGACGTTCTTGTAGCCCACGGCCGCGACAACAAGAACCACAGGCGCAAACGCAAACGCAAAAGATGTAATAAGAATCAGAGAATCAGGTTGAGCGGTACTTGAATGGAAATGGAGGAGTCGTCAGTGTAAGGAAGGAGCAAAGGAGAAAACGAAATAGACAGATCTGGAAAGACATAGCCTAAATGAACTGGAGGTGAGAAGGTACACAAGAGAGTAAGCGTGAAGACTACGAAAAGTAGGAACGCATGAAAAAGGAATAAAGAAAACAGACTAATGAGCAAGGAGGTGGAACTTAAAGTAGAGCACAAAAGAAAATTACGACCAGGAAAAGAAAAAACTAAATGAGAGAAGTGGCATAACTGAAAACGAAAGCGAACGAAACTATGTGAAGACGACTAGATACTTCCTCAAGCTCACTAAGATGCAATCTAGGAGATCAAGCAACATACCCATGCGGTGTCTTAGAGAGAAGCCAAGGTAAGAACAAGCCTCTGCTGGGGAGAAGTGTCAGAATCCCAAGGCGACGGAATCGCAGGGCCGCGGGCGACGGGATCGGGGGGCCGCGGGCGACGGGATCGCGGGGCCACGAGCGACGGGATCGGGGGGCCGCGGGCGACGGGATCGCGGGGCCGCGGGCGACGGGATCGGGGGGCCGCGGGCGACGGGATCGGGGGGACGCGGGCATCCCCCACGGGAGGAAACCGCCGCGCGCCTCGGGGCGCACGGCGGGGAGAAACCCGCCGCACGCCCCGAGCGCGCGGCAGGAAGGAGGCGTCGCGCGACCAGTAGAACAGCAGCGGAAGCATTTGGTGGTGGGCCCACCCACAGGATCGACCCAACAGGATCGTCCTGCTCTGATAGCATGTCATGAGAATTAGGCAAAAGAGGAATGAACTAGCAAGAATGGGGATACAAATAGCAAACCCTAGAAGGGTTGTACTCGCTACAGAGCACCCCACTACAGGCTAGAGCATAATATTCTGACAAGAAGAAACGAGCGAGAGGAAGCGAGCGAGAAGAAAAAGAAACGAATGAAACCCTAAGGTGTGCTGACTTCGCCGCAAAGGACATCCATATCACAAATAAACCCGGCAGATCGGATCGGCTCATGTAGTGTAGTCGAGTAAGTTTGAGTTGGTGAATGTAAGGTCGTAGGTTCGATTCTTGCGGGCACCATGTTTTAACGATGTTTCTAAAGCCAACAAAACTATTATGTGTTACGTAAAGTGTTAACAGATATCTTAGCACAGTGGTTTTTACACCCTTCCCGATCGTAAGGTCGCGGGTTCGATACCAAGCGTGCATAGTTATTTAAACTGAAAAATCACAGATGCTGAACACATATTTTATAATATGTTTAAGAATATTACAATCTATATTGATAATTTTACCAAAACGCTTCGCAACCCTAAGACGATTTCGTCGCCTCTTGTTAGAAATTGTATTTCTTTATATAACTGCATATTAGTATAGCTAGTGTAGTATGTATTCTCTTGTTGGTGGTATACCCCTCCTGACCACCTTCCCTTGTTAAACTGTATTATGTTTGTAGGCTGTAGTGGGGTAGCCAATATGGGGTACAACCCCAACTAGGGTTTGCTACTTGTACCCAATTCTTCCATTCAATGCACCATTCTTGCCTAGTTCTTTTCACATGGTATTCAGAGCAGGAGGTCCCTAGGACCTACCGACCGTTTTTTTTTAAGGGCCCACCACCGCTCGCATGCGGTTACCACGCTACCCCGTGCCCTAGCCTCGTAGCGCCCTCGTGCGCCCTCGTTAGCGCCCTCGTGCGCCCTCGTTAGTGCCCTCGCGCGCCCTCGTTAGCGCCCTCGTGCGCCTCTCGTTAGCGCCCTCGCGCGCCCTCGCTAGCGCCCTCGCGCGCCCCTTGCTAGCGCCCTCGTGCGCCTCTCGTTAGCGCCCTCGCGCGCCCCTCGCAGCGTCGCCCGCCCGCCGAGCCGCCCGCTCGCAGCGTCGCCCGCCCGCCCGCTGCCCGCTTCGCAGCGTCGCCCGCCCGCCGTGCTGCCCGCTCGCAGCGTCGCCCGCCCGCCTCGCTGCCCGCTTGCAGCGTCGCCCGCCCGCCCGCTGCCCGCTTCGCAGCCCGCCCGCCGCGCTGCCCGCTCGCAGCGTCGCCCGCCCGCCCACTGCCGCTCGCAGCGTCGCCCGCCCGCCCGCTGCCCGCTTCGCAGCCCGCCCGCCGCGCTGCCCGCTCGCCGCGTCGCCCGCCCGCCTCGCTGCCCGCTTGCAGCGTCGCCCGCCCGCCCGCTGCCCGCTTCGCAGCCCGCCCGCCGTGTTAAACTGTAGTATGCTTGTAGGCTGTAGTGGGGTAGCCAATATGGGTACAACCCCAACTAGGGTTCATATTTGTACCCAAACTTCTGCTAGTTCATCATTCTTGCCTAGTTCTTCTGACATGGTATTCAGAGCAGGAGGTCCCTAGGACCTACCGATCGTTTTTAGGGCCCACCACCGCTCGCATGCGGTTACCACGCTACCCCGTGCCCTAGCCTCGTAGCGCCCTCGTGCGCCCTCGTTAGCGCCCTCGCGCGCACCCTCGTTAGCGCCCTCGCGCGCACCCACGTTAGCGCCCTCGCGCGCCCCTCGTTAGCGCCCTCGCGCGCCCTTTGTCAGCGCCCTCGCGCGCCCTTGCTAGCGCCCTCGCGCCACCTCACTAGCGCCCTCGCGCGCCCCTCACTAGCGCCCTCGCGCGCCCCTCGCCGAGCCGCCCGCTCGCAGCCCGCCCGCTCGCTGCCCGCTTCGCGGCCCGCTCGCTACGCAGCCCGCCCGCCCGCTCGCTGCCCGCTTCGCGGCCCGCCCGCTTCGCAGCCCGCTCGCTCGCTGCCCGCTTCGCGGCCCGCCCGCTTCGCAGCCCGCTCGCTCGCTGCCCGCTTCGCGGCCCGCCACTTCGCAGCCCGCCCGCCCGCTCGCTGCCCGCTTCGCGGCCCGCCCGCCTCGCAGCCCGCTCGCCCCGCTGCCCGCTTCGCGGCCCGCCCACTTCGCAGCCCGCCCGCCCGCTCGCTGCCCACTTCGCGGCCCGCTCGCATCGCAGCCCGCCGCCCCGCTGCCCGCTTCGCAGCCCGCCCGCCCGCCCGCTGCCCGCTTTGCGGCCCGCCCGCCTCGCAGCGTCGCCCGCCCGCCGTGCTGCCCGCTTGCAGCGCCGCCTGCCCGCCGCGCTGCCCGCTTCCCGGCCCGTCCGCCGCGCTGCCCGCTCGCAGCGTCGCCCTCCCGTCGCACTGACCGCTTGCAGCGCCGCCTGCCCGTAGCGCCAGCCTCGCCCGCTTTCTCTATCCGTGCACAGTCGCCTTCCCCTGCTGCGGCAGCTTGCGTTACTCTGTCACACTGTCGCTATGGCTTCCATTCGCGTGCTGTCGTTCGATGCTGAGGGCCGCCCTGTGCGTTTCACCGCTTGGCTAGATGACCTGCAGCTGTTTCTCCTGAGCGATAGCAAGGAGCATGTGTCGCTCTATGACTACGCGTCTGGTGCTGCGCCTGCCCCTCCTGCCACAGCTGAGCTTAGTGTTCGTTCCCACTGGCAGACTCGTGACGCAGCTGCTCGCCTAGCCATTCGCAGTCACCTGCCGTTAGCTGAGCTAGAGCATTTTGGCGACTGCAAATCCGCTAAGGCCCTGTACGACGCTGTCGTCGCTCGCTACTCCTCGCCTGCCACAGCCGAGCTTAGCCGCCTCATGCTGCCTTACCTCCTTCCCCGATCTGTCCGTCCCACCTTCACTACAGTCGCCGATCTTATCACCCACCTTCGCACTAGTGATGCTCGCCTGCGTGCCGCCCTACCCACCGAGTTCTGCGCTAAGAACCCCCCCCCACTGTACTGGACACTCCACTTCATAGTCACCCGTCTCCCTGACACCCTCCGCTCAGTTCGAGACCACTTCCTTGCTCGCTGTCCCACTGAGCTCACAGTCGCCCTCCTAGAGGAGCACCTGCTCGCGGCCGAAAAGAGCATTGTAGCTGTCGGTGCTGCTCGTGGCGCTCCTCGCACCCCCATCTTTGAGGGGTGTTCTCCCTCTCCCCTCGCTCCCTCCTACGCTGCTGCTGCTGCTGTTGACTTCCTTGGTGCTGAGTCTGTTGGCGCTGCTTCTACTCCTGGTGGGAGGCGCCGCACCGGCAAGGGCAAGGGGGGCAAGGGTGGTGGTGGTGGCGCTGGGGGGGGAGGAGGTGGGGGAGGTGGGGGGGGAGGCGGTGCTGGAGGGAGCGGTGGCGGGAGCGCTGGTGGGAGTGGGGTCGGTGGTGGAGACGGGGGCGGCGGAGGAAGCAGTGGCAGTAGTGGCGGCGGCGGCGGTGGCGGCGGTGGCGGTGGTGGCGGTGGTGGCGGTGCCGGTCGGAGCGGTGGTAGTGGTGGCGGCGGAGGTCGGAGTGGAGGCACTGGCTCGGGCCAGAGCTCCCAGCAGCAGCAGCGTCCCCAGACGACCCAGCAGCTTCGTGAGTGGCTTGCTCAGCGTGGGACGTCGGGGGCCAGTGCCCGCTGTTCTTATGTCATTCGCACAGGTGACCGCAAGGGACAGACGTGTGGGAGGTTCCACACCCCGTACCGCTGCTTCTCCCTCTCCCGCCTTGACGACGCTTGGCGTGAGGAGATGGGTGCGGATGTTGAGCGCCCCCGCTGGGCTGAGCTCATGAGGGCTGGTGTTGATGTCTTTGCTCTTGACTATGATGCTATTATTGCTGCCATGTATGCATTGACTGTTAGTGCCGAGGGAGACTGTTACTTGTGTGTGCCGCCTGACCCAGGTATAGAGAGCCCGCTGCCCTGGGTACTAGTGAGTCTGCTCTCTCTGGTATGGTGCCCCCTGTACTTGCTCCCCCCAGTGCTGTCCCGGCTGGTTTCGAGTCTGCTCTCTCAGGTACAGCACCCACACAGACTCCTCTCTCAGGTACCGCACCGGCTGAGGCCTGTCACACCTTCACCCTTGACTCAGGTGCTTCCCGTTGCTTCTTTCGTGACAGTACTGAGCTCACACCGCTTCCTGCACCGGTCCCAGTCTCCTTGGCTGACCCCTCTGGGGGCCCAGTCCTTGCCCAGTCCACCACTGTCCTCCCTTGTCCGGCGGTTCCGTCTGGCTCGTTGTCGGGTTTCCACCTCCCCTCGTTCTCGACGAACCTGGTGAGCAACGCTGTCCTCCAGGATCAGTGGGTTGACACCTTTACCCCTGGCGGACAGCGTGTGGCGATCTGCACGTGCTCCAGGACTGGCCGTCACCTGGCTACGTTCACCCGTCGGCCGGGGTCGAGTCTCTACACACTGACCACTGCGTCTCCCCAGGTAGCTGCTGTCGGTCAGGTGTCTGCGTCAGGTCTGGTGGCCCACGCCTGTGAGTGTCGTTCCCTGTCGCACCAGACTCTTCTCTGGCACCACCGCCTGGGTCACCCCTCCTTGCCACGCCTTCGTGGCATGCACCGTCGCCTCCTTGTGTCCGGGTCTTCCAGGTCCCTCCCTCCCCTCCCTGCCTCGCCTGCGCCGCCTTGCCTTCCTTGCGTCGAGGGGCGGCAGCGCGCCGCTCCTCACTCCTCCTCGTTCCCCCCGACAGAGGCTCCTCTGCAGACCCTCCACCTGGACGTGTGGGGCCCAGCCCGCGTTCGTGGTCAGGGCGGTGAGCGGTATTTTTTGCTGGTTGTCGACGACTACTCGCGTTACACCACGGTCTTCCCCTTGCGCACCAAGGGTGAGGTCCCTGCTGTTCTGATCCCTTGGATCCGCACGGTTCGTCTCCAGCTCCGCCGCCGTTTCCGGACGGATCTTCCTGTCCTGCGTCTGCACTCTGACAGAGGTGGTGAGTTTTCCTCCGACCTCTTGAGGACCTTCTGTCAGGCGGAGGGCATCGAGCAGACCTTCACGCTTCCGGACTCCCCACAGCAGAATGGGGTTGCTGAGCGTCGCATTGGCCTGGTCATGGAGGTCGCTCGTACCTCCTTGGTCCACGCGGCGGCTCCCCATTTTCTGTGGCCGTTTGCTGTCCGGTACGCCGCGCATCAGCTCAACCTCTGGCCCCGTGTCTCCTTGCCGGAGACCTCGCCCACACTGCGTTGGACGGGGGAGGTTGGCGATGCGTCGCGCTTCCGGGTGTGGGGTGCTCGTGCCCTTGTCCGCGATACGTCTGCGGACAAGCTCTCCTCCCGCACGCTTCCCTGTGTCTTCCTTGGCTTTGTCCCTGACGCGCCTGGCTGGCAGTTTTACCACCCCACCTCGCGCCGGGTCTTCGCCTCTCAGGATGTCACCTTTGACGAGTCGGTCCCCTTTTACCGTCTCTTCCCCTACCGCACTGCCCCCCTCCCTCCCCCGCCGCTTTTCCTTGCTCCTGGTCCCCCTCCGGTAGACCCCCTTCCCCCTCAGGGTCCTGCTCCTTCAGGTGTCTCTCAGGTAGACCCTCCTCCCGTCGCTGAGCCTGTCGAGTCACAGTGACTCAGGTGGCTGCGGGGTGGTACTGCTGGGAGTGCTGAGCCTGGGGGTGCTGAGCCTGGGGGTGCTGGGCCTGGGGGTGCGGGGGCTGCAGGTGCTGGGGCTGAGGGTGCTGGAGCTGAGGGTACTGGCTGAGAGTTTGCCGCCTGGGGGTGCTGAGCCTGGGGGTGCTGCGACTGGGGGTGCTGAGCCTGCGGGTACTGAGCCTGCGGGTACTGAGCCTGGGGGTGCTGCTACTGAGCCTACGGAGCCTCGGGTTACTGTGTCTGGGGGTGCTCCGGTTCGGGGTGCTGAGCAGTCTCTCACACCGCAGCAGCTTCGTGACTGGTACGTCCGACGCTTTCGCCGTCCTAGTGGCTCGGCTGGAGTTTGGGGTGCTGGAGCTGCTCGTCCTGGGGGTGCTCGTACTGGGGGTACTGGAGCTGCCGGGACTGGCTGTTCTGGGAGCGCTGCGACTGGAGCTGCTGGAGCTGGGGACTCTGGCGTTGGCGGTGCTAGCGGAGTTGGAGCTCCCGACTCTGGGGGTGGCGCTGCTGCTGGTGCTGCGGACCCACCTGGTGGAGCTGCTGCTGGTACTGAGGAGTCGGACGGTGGAGCTGCTGCTGGAGCTGGGGACCCGGCCGGTGGAGCTGCTGCTGGTGCTGTGGACCCGGACGCTGGAGCTCCTACT